GACAATGAGGTGTTATGGAAACCTGATATGATGGACAATTTAAATCAGAAAATCATACAGTGATATATGGGTAGATTTTTTAAAATATCATTAATAAAAAATAATTTAAAAATATAAAAATTTATAAATTAAATACTATAATAAAAAAAATTATGAAAAAAGTAGGTGGATATTTCTTTGAATTTTACTCTTAAAAATAAAATAAAATAAAAAAAAGATAATAAATGAGATTGGGCCAGTAAGTTGGACCATTTAATCTATCTGGGCCAAAAGGGAAAAATCTAGAATATACGATTGGGACGACGTCGTATCTTGAGTCGCCAGCGACGCCAAAATCAGATTCTATATCGGGAAGATAGAAACTAGAAGGGTCCACTGATTACTCTCCTGCACGTTCTCCCACCCACCTAATTCTCAATTCACATGCCTGTCACCTGATTCCTTTGCCTCACCCACCTAATTTTTATTTTTTATTTTTAAATTATAAAAATTTAATTTTATACAGAGAAACGAGATGTTCAAAAGAGAACAATAATCAAATAAAAGGATACAAAAATGGTTAAATCACATATATGATTCGTCCATTTTCTTATTCTTTTATTTGGTTACCATTCGCGTATGAACGAGAACCTCTCTATTTTATGAAAGCATGAGAATGCCCTTATCACATATGATAATAGCCGTGAGGGGACCTGTTGATGTACATACGACGTATCATGCGACTTAGGTCATGCCAAAGATCATTTGTGTCTTTGATTTAGTATCACATGTGATGAATTTATAGTATCACATCAAGAACACTTTTTATCACATGTGATAATACACGTGAAGGAGCCTAGTGGTGTAAGAGCCACTTGGCCAGCAACTCTAGTTTAGTATCACATGTATATTATATGTGATCGAATATAGTATCACATGTGATTGACTAAACTAAAAGACGTGTTCTCGTGATCTTGTAAAATGAAAGTATTTTCGTTTGAACCATTCCTATAAATTCCAGAGGAAATTATATTTTAAATAATTATAATTGATATTTTTCTTTGTTGTAAACACATAGATATTAACGAATGTTTTATTTTTAAATATTATATTCGTGTATCATGTATTATTTAATACCAGTGATGCTAAAATATGCAGATAAAAAAATTCTGTCTTTTTCTAATATGATTTTATACGTATGTCAAACAAAACAACATCGTTTCAATTGTTTTCGCTTAGTTTTAACGAATCCAATGATTAAATTAGGAAATAACATGTCACGTTAAAAGGTGGACGATCGATGGTATCAATTAACCACCATGATGATGTGATCCTTCTTCTAGCCGACCCTGTTGTGGATATTCATGGAAAAGTGAACATCAATTTTTTTTTTCATTCACAGTGAATCCATTTGTTTAAACAAAATGGGATCAGCTACTGGTTTGCTGTCCAATTTCATACTGGTGATACGTCAATTTTTTTCATTTACAGTGAATCCATCTGTTTAAACAAAATGGGATCAACTACTGGTTTGCTGTCCAATTTCATACTGGTGATACGTCAACGACAAAAATCCCATCTCTAGATATAAATTCCCAATTCTGTTAAAGAAAACAAATAAATCATGTCGGTTGGTCGTGGAGGGTCTTTTCTGGTCATGTCTTAACCACTTATCAAACTTATTGGTAACGTGTTGTTGTGTGACACCATTTAGTCAGTACCATAAGTCGGGTCCCTCTTTTGGTACAACGATGTGTTTGTTATTGATGAAAAGACATATGCAAGGGTTTTGTTAGTGCAACTTGTTGGTTCTTTAGCCACAAATAGAAATCTCAACACTGCTCGAGGTCAAACAATAATAACATAGGAATTAAGAGTTTTGAGTGAAAGATATACAAACGTCGAATTTAGAGTGGTTCACCCAATTTCGATAGTTCACTTTCCCTAAACATTCCCACGATGCATGATTCACTATCATGCGATTCTTTACGGCATGATAGAAATTGCATGCAATATGTGTTTTTTTATTAACCTGGATATCTAACCTGCTATGCGAGTCGACTAATCCTAGGGTGACTACCTGTTTGCAGATACCCCAGAGTCAACGCATTTGAACCTCCATGGGCACAAGGGGATTTTTATTCCTCATTGAATTCGAAGTCCGAACCTGGGACCTCCAGACACTTTTGACATTTGGAGCCCAAGTTCAAACCAGTCGGGCACCACCCGTGTGGTTTTGTTTTTTATGCTTTTCTAAGCAGTCACAAATGGATAAAAAAAAAACACAAGATGGAACTGGTACAACTGTCTATCAAATGAAAGTTCTACTGATATTTTACAGTTTTATCTCTTGATGCACTTAAATTGTCGAATACTTTGAAAGAACATCTTAAGGATGAATATGTTGTAAATCGCATGTTCTTATGCGTTGTGGAAGAATTTCAGGACCTCTTAATATATGGATTTTTTTTATTCATCTCGTAAACGATAAAGATAGAACGATATATACTTTAAAGATTTTCAAAATTTGTCAGATCAAATACGAAAGTCCAGTTTGTTCATTTGGACTTGCTAATTCCAAATTTTTTTTGCAGGTTTTAACTGCTTGGAATATCGTCGACATATATAAAATGTTCAAAATTCGGAATTTATATCTGATCAGATGATGCAACCCCATATAAGGTTTTCCTTTCAAAAAGCAAACGTCAAATCAAAATTTTCCTTTTCGGTCTTTCGAATAAAGATATTTATTAGTTTTGGAAGAAAAAACGTCATCTGTTTCACTTGATCTGATCTTCAATTAAATCCATGATATGCTTCTTAAAGTAATTTTCATGACCTGATTCCCGTTACACACTTTCCATTACAATTTATTCATTACAATCGCCTTCAATCTTCATTACAAACGACACATTTTTCAAGATATAATCAATCTTTCCACCAACGATGTAATTCACGAGTATTTTTTAACTTTTTTTTATTAACCTGGATATCCAACCCACTATGTGAGCCGACTAATCCCCAGATGATTACCCGCTTTGGAGGTAGCCCGGAGTCACCTCATGTGAACCTCCGTGGGCACAAGTGGATTTTTATTCATCCTTGAATTCAAACCTAAGATCTCAAGACACTTTTATATATTGTTGAAACAACAGTGTATTATTCCTCCTTGGATTTTTTCAACAAACAACACTGTATTATAGTAGTTGCTTGTCGTATACGTCATTAAATTTATACAACCATAATCACATTTAGTTAAATTAAACTCAGTAATAATAAACGATTATATATTAAATTGAAATGATGGATGAAAAAAAGTATAACAATATCTCTATTACTTGTGCTTTTCGGCATTTATTATATAGCCCTAGTTTCTTTCTAAACGAAAAGCAGCTATCTCCTACCTGATTTCAGATATCCCGATCGAAAACAAAGCCAACTCTTCGATTTTCATTTCACTTCAGTTCCTAATTTGACTACTGAAATCCCCAGAGGCTCAAAGATGATTGCTTATGTTTTGAATTTGGATACTCAAAGAAAACGACAACTGCTCAAATCAAGCAACTTCTCTATAATACGACTGTTTTTTTACATATCTGATTCTCAAATTGCAAAATATGATAAAACAGTCTGCATAATACAAACTGTTTCTTTTGGGTATTCTCTCTTCTCCGTAATTCGAAAATTTGAGACCTGCAACTGTGTATCATTCAAGCTCCACAATCAGAGGAGGTAAATTTTATTTCTTTTATGTTACTCTCTTTTTTCTTTAAATTTTATTGGTTAATTGCCATTGAATTGTTTTGGGTTACTAATTTCTCTGTGTTACACAATTATACTGTGTAAAACCATAAATACAAATTGTTTGTGACTGTTAATATTATATATCTCGCTCACACTATATATTGGGTCATGCAGAGATGGTTGTTTGAGGCTTTCAACCACTCAACTACATGTTTAAGCAATTCCTCTGTTGAATTGTTGTCCCAAGGAGATTGAGTTCTCGTGAGAATAGAAGTTATGGTAAGAAGGATGAGAAGAGATTTCCACCATTTGGTCAATCCTAATCTCAACACTAATGAGATGCAGCGAGATGTACCAGTTCAATTCGTGTATCAGATACAATTCATGGGATGAGGCTGAGATTGAAAGTGATCTACAGTCCAAATCCATTCTTACGTTTCTTATCTTAACTTTCATTCTCACACGATCATTCGTCTATATATACAAACAACAAGTAGGTTTATGTTTCTTATTTGTCAAGGTTCAAATTACTCCTCTTTGGATGCTTTCACTACTTTCTTTTTATCTTGCTTTGCTTGAAAACATCATCTATTGTTTCATGATCTTGCTTTACTATTCTTTTGATTGAAATCTGTAATACGTCGGATAATAAATCACATCGGTCAGATTCGTGATTTGGTAAACACACTGACTGCTGACCGAGTCAAGTCGGTCAACAGTTAGTAAACAACCCCTTGGTGTCGTTGTGCTATTTGTTTGACCAGAATAGTCAATGAATGTACTTTATGTATAAAAAATGATTTTTAAGAGTTTTGTCAAATATTTTATAATACAATATAAATAAGTTCAAAATTTTAATTGTTTAGTAACTGGTATACAATGCCTACAAAAAAATTGGAACAAACCAAAGGGCTTGTGACCTAGCGGTATGTGAGTGTTTAGCCTCTTAAAAGATTAACGGTTCAAACCTTACTAAAGATGAAGAGGATGTGTCAGTTTATTTGTTTTATTCATCGTATATAAATATTATATACTTCGAAAAAGAAATTGAACGTCTTTTAACGACCTAAATATATATGATTTTTAAAATAACGGTTAGAGTTGGTCTAAAATTTAACAAGAAATATAGAAATTAAAAGAAATCATAAATGTTGGGCTGTGCATGTGACTGTAACATAACCTAAATCACAGCCAACAATGGCGTTAAGTATTTAACGACCGGCCGACACGCCGTGATTTGTCCGTCTCATCGTTGCCACCTATACTTTGTGATCCACATATATCATATAGATATCACCGATTCATCTATACATTTTCTTCTTGGGGAGAACCAAAATTGAAGCCATGGGCGTCGATTACTACAACATACTCAAGGTGAATCGAACGGTTAGCGATGAAGATTTGAAGAAAGCTTACAAGAAATTGGCCATGAAATGGCATCCTGACAAGAACATTGCTTCAACTGATGATAAAGTTGCTGAATCTAAGTTTAAGCAGATATCTGAGGCTTATTATGTTCTTAGCGACCCCAAAAAGCGTCAGATCTATGACTTGTACGGGGAAGAAGGTCTGAAATCGGGCCAGTTTGATGAATCGTCTCCTACTTTTAGAGGTACAACCAAATCCAGCTCCAGGTTTAGGTTTGATCCGCGGGATGCTGATGAGATATTTGCTGAGTTTTTCTATGGATCTGACGGTGGTGGTGGGAGGAGGAAGGGGAATCCCGGTGGAGTGTTGAAGAATTCTAACCAGAAGAGTGTTAGGAAAGCGGAGACGGTGGAGAATAAGCTGAGTTGTAGTTTGGAGGAGCTTTATAAAGGTTCCAAACGTAAAATGCAGATTTCGAGAATCGTTCTTGATGATTCCGGGTATGGCCTTTATATTCTAATACATTTCTTTAACAAATGCCTTAATTTGTTCATCTTAACCTTATGATTTTGATACTATATCTGGACTGTTGAATTATATAGTTAGAAATGGAATTGGAGCTCTTGAGCTAAAAATACTGAGTATATATTAGAAGTTGATTCCTGAATCATGCCTTTGAAGCTCAAATGTCATGCATGAATTCAATGAATGATTTAGGATTATGTAGTTTAAGCATGATTAGAATTGAAATTGTTTCTAAATTCTGATGATGAAGGTTTGAGGTTAGATTAACCTGGTTGATCATAGGATTCTAGCTGCTATTAATCAACATATCGAATTTTAATTAGAATGCACAGTGGATTTTTGCGATCAAACTATGTTAATGTTATGCGGTTGATGATATATGAGTTGCCATTGCAGCAAACCAGGGACTCTTGAAGAGATATTGCCAATACATATCAAACCTGGCTGGAAAAAGGGAACGAAGATCACATTCCCTGAAAAAGGAAACCAAGAACCTGGTGTTGCTCCTGGAGATCTTATTTTCGTGGTTGACGAGAAGCCTCATGACGTATTTAAGAGAGATGGAAATGATTTAGTCTTCACGAAAAGGATCACGTTATTGGAAGCGCTCACAGGAAAAACGATCAAGGTGGTGACTTTGGATGGTAGAAATCTCACAATCCCACTAACCGATGTCATCAAGCCAGGCCATGAGGAAGTGATCCCTAACGAAGGAATGCCAATCTCTAAAGAACCTGGGAAGAAAGGGAACCTGAGGATCAAGATTGATATCAAGTTTCCTTCGAGGCTAACCGGAGAGCAAAAATCCGATCTTAAGAGGGTCTTGGGAGGAGGAGGCAGAGTTGATGACTAATATCTGTTTTCAACTTATAATAGAAACTGTGAGTACCTCTAACCATTGACAATGGAAGTGCAATCAAATGTACATACATGGATAACTTTCTTGGTATTATCAGAGAGAAAATTGTGCATAGTAGAAACACTTTGAAGTCTTGTTGCCTAATATTATTTTATCCCTAGCTAACTACTTAATAATCTCCATTTGAAAATCTGTATATCGTAAAGCAGAGAGGCTATGTTTGTTCGTATTTGTACTTTGGGTTTGAACAAATGTTGTGTTCTTATCTGTCCCACATATTTGTTTACCTTAGTTATTAAATTGTCTACTAAATCATCTTTGTTATTATGCGATATGTAAACGTCGGCTCAGATTCTGTTACAGTTTTCTTGGCTTGAAGATATTGCTGGTATATTACAAACTTATAACAGCATGACAAAAACTACGTGTCTTCTATTTCTTCTTCCCTCACATGTTGCTGTTTCGGAGTTAGACTCCATTATATGTATCTGCGGAAAAAAAGACATGAAATAGTCACTGCGCAAGTATTCAGCAACACACACTTAATGTCTCAACGTGCATGTGTAAAACATATTTTCCGATATCACAACTATTTCTGCAGGATATGAATGCTATTAGCTGCTGCATATTGTTAACTCAATGCTGATCATTTATTCCCCTATATATAAAGTGGAAAGAAAGAAGTAGAAGCATAGATTGCTTGCTCCCTTTTTGTGCCATCAGGCGTATTCAATATTGATTTGAATTCGGATTAGGTTTGATCAGATGATGATAATATGGACTGGGGGATTGAAAATTTTGGAGAGGGCTTTAATTGAAAAAATCCAAGGGTAAAATGCTGGATTAATTTTGTAAATTAGCCTCTTGTTTATTTTTCTGCCTTTATTACATGTTTCTTATGTTGATGCTGGTTTTGGCCATGGTTTTCACACTGCAATTTTTAGTCTATAAATTCAAAATCAGTTTTGGCCTATTACATTTCGGGCTTTTCGGTAATCAGTCGTTTGCCTATCTAATGTCTATGTTATCAACAGTCTCTTTGGTTTTAATCTGTTGTTTCATGCCATTTTATGGTGGTCTCCGTTATGGGTTGGATTTTTGGTTCAGTTTGATTGTCTTTATAGTTTGGTGTTCCATTAATAATGATATCTGTTACACCCAAGTAAATATACTCCAGTTTTTAGCCATAGGAAATCATGGAAAACAGCAGGTGGACAAAGAATAGCAGAGACCTGAACAATCTACATCTATATTAGAGAGCTGAACTCCATTTTCTTGTAAGTTTGCAAGCTTTGAGCCTTGAATTGCCTTTTAGCCTATTCTCATACATCACATTCTTCATGTCTTCTTGTTACTGCATAACATTTCTGGACATTTTAACCAACAATCAAGTAGTTTTATTGGTTTTCTATTAAGTCCTCTATGGATAAAACTGTTTTTGGTATTAATCTATCTGTATAGATTAGGAAGCTTTTTGTTTGGAAGGGTTTTTTTTATAGATGGAAGGACTGTCTTTTTTAATTGTTAGGGACGGGTTTGGAAAAAAAACTTGACTTTCTGCATAAAGATCCCTTAGAAGCTTAAAGTGTAAGTCACTTTCTATATCAGTAAGCGACTACTAACAGTCATGTATGGCTGACCAAATGAGCCGAGTCTCCTCAAGCCTGTTAAGCTGCTAACAAACTCTGGCAGCTGGGACTATGGCATTCGGAATACTGTGTTCAGCTACCTTCCCTTGGCACCTTGATGGGGTTGAAGAAGGTCCCAAGGGTTCGGTTGTTCGCCGACAATAAAGAGGAAAAGCTAAGAAAGATATAGGTAGGGAAGAGGACAGCAGAAATCAACAGGTCTGGATCGAAGGCATATGCTGGTATGCGGGGGGTCACGGATTTAGTTCAGGCCTGCCCTGAGTGCAGTGTGAACAGACCTAAGGGGTCATTTACCAAACGCTTACCTGGGTAAGATTTTAGTCCATCAAAACAGAATTATATGCAACAATTTACCCGGTAAGCACTAACCGTGGTAAGAGTCATCGCTCCCACTTACCGGGTGAGACTCTCGGTCCTTACCTTCGCTCTTATCGAGTAAGATTCTTGGTCCTTCCATATTCATCCGGTAAGGTAGTATGACTTGGTGAACGCTTATCCAGAATAAGGGTTTGGTAAACAACTCCTAAGTCTCATACTACAGCTTTATGTACACAAGACTTAATAGAAAACCAACCAAACAGTCCCTAAGAGTTCCTCCTTAAGCTTCGTGTGAGAATAAGAGTTAAAGTGAGAAGCGTAACGACTGGTCTGGACCCTTGATCACTGCTAATATCACCCCCATCCCATGAATTTCGCTTATCACGGGAATTGATCCATTGCATCTCGGTGCACCGCGTTAGCGTTGATCTTCAATTAAGATTGATCCAAGGGTGGAGATCCTTTCTTACTCTTCTCACTGAAACCGGACTCTATATATGTGTGTGTATATATATATATATATTCTGACCCTTTAAACCAACTAGCATAGATCTGGACCCTTGATCACTGCTAATATCATCCCCGTCCCATGAATTTCGCTTATCACGGGAATTGATCCACTGCATCTCGGTGCACCGCGTTAGCGTTGATCTTTAATTAGGATTAATCCAAGGGTGGAGATCCCTTCTTACTATTCTCACCAAAACCGGACCCTATATATGTGTGTATATATATATATATTCTGACCCTTTAAACCAACATCTAACATAGATTTGATCAATTCTTTAGGAATAAACCTGCACTAGTTAGTCCCAAATCGAAGATTCTCCAGATTTTAACATTGCAAAATTTGGCAAATAATCTTCGTTAGGAATCGAGCCATCTAGTGAACAATACAAACACGACCCAGAACGCTCTTAGACCATCTACGCGAACACAACAAAAGATCGAGAGTTGAACGCCATTTTTGTTCTAAGGATCAAACTTCGGAATAGGAATTCAAAGATTTATACAAATAGATTGTCCCGTGATATAACAAACATACTTTGCTAAACAAATTTATTCAAAGACGGAAATAGCTTCCGTAAAAGCTCCAATCGTCTTGTGTTCTGTATTAAGCCTCGTTCAGGCTTATAATAAGTTCTAACGGTTTTGTTAGTACCTGTGTTTCTCGATCATCCTACGAAGTTCGTCTTTCTTGGCCCCAACAACCCTTCCGACTTCTTCCCCTTTCTTGAGCAGTAGGAACGTTGGCATCGCTTGTACTGAATAATCCTTGGCCACGTCCTGTTTTCAAATCATCCAAAACTAAAAACAGAAAACCGAATCTTAACAAATAAATAATCATTGGGTAGATGAACGAAAAACTTACAGGTAACTCATCGACATCAATCTTGATGAATTCAACGTTTGAGAACTCGACAGCGAAGTCATGAACGGCTGGTTCGATGATTTTACAAGGTCCACACCAATCCGCGGAGAAATCAATGACCATCTAAAGATTCCAAAACATCAGGAACGTTGTAACGGTTTTAGTCTAGGCAGACGTTTCTTTGGATTTCAAAGCGTAAGTGTAACAGCCCGGATATAAACGTAGGTTTGTGAAGTTCAAAGTTGTGGGTTATCAATAACGTAGATTAAACTAAAATCAGACACTTACCAGCTTGTTTGATGTGATAGAGCTCTTTAATTGTGTGTTCCAGTGGTCTAGAGAATTAACTGAAATGACTTCTCCATTTGCTGCCCTTTGTTGTGAGGAAATCTGGCCTCCCATCTTTCTTCTTTCTTGGGTATAAATTTCTGAGTGTTTGCAGGCAGGATATATATATACATATATATATATATATATATATATATATATATATATATACATATTTATATATCTACACAGAGGTGGTCTTATTTACACATCCAAAGATTAGTATAAACTATATAAACCAATCTTAACTGTTTATCTAGTTCAATGAATATCTCTTTGTTTTCTAATATGAATTTTTTATCATAATAAATGAACTTTGATAATATTTCATAAATATCCAGATTATAATCTCATTATTTCTATAAGTATCTTAATTAATTGATTTGTATAGTTTGTACTAATAGTTGAGTTTGTATTCGGAACCATCTCTCTCTCTCTCTCTCTCTCTCTCTCTCTATATATATATATATATATATATATGAGTTATTATGCAACCCTTTACATTTGGACAACCAATACAACTCAATCTTAACCGTCCATTTAATTTGATGAATATGTGATTTCATAAAAGTTTTGATTGTTTCTCAATATAAAGTATTAATCATAATTAATGAACTCTAATCGTCTTTCATAATTATTCAAATAATAATAAATGAATTCTCATCATTTCCATAAATATATCAATTGATTGGTTGCATTGGTTGTACAAATGAACATTGTTGCATTTGAAATATACCATATATATATATATATATATATATATATGTTTATATGTGGGAATAATCAGATGAGAACCAGTAATCATGTGTTTTGTGAAACAACACTGCATTTTCACTTGTATTTTTCTCACAATATTAAACAACAAATGATTAGTGATTTTCACGATTCTCAATTTTTTTTGTGGTTCTCATCTGATTATTTTCGTACACACATATATACATATAGAGAGAGAGAGAGAGATGAAAGTTGATTCGAGGAGTGGGAAAGGATGGTATAGGATTCTTGTAATCGAGATTGAATTTGAACCGTTGGTTTTGAAACAAGTGAAAAAGTATCGGAATGGGATAGACTCTATTGTTTGCACGATACAATTGATACTAAAGGTGTTATGTGTGTAACATGAAAACTTATTTTTATCGACCCGAATAAGTCCAAGATTCGTTTTAGGAAACGGCTACATACAACGTTAATACCCAAAGTACAAGTTCCATAGACCAAACCATCTTATATCGTGTTTCGTATTTGATGTTTATGACGAAACATTTCAAATAATACAGTTTAAAATTTTCGAAGAAGGTTTCTTTTCACAAAATCATGGTATGTTTTAGTTTTTTTTCCTCATATAAAGTTATAATCTATACTATCTTATAAAGCAAATTTAACAAAAGTCTTAAAGTCTTAAAATACTAAATGACCAAGATACCCTTTATATATTTTTTCACGTTTTCACCTCCTCCTCTCCTCACATGCCCTCACCCCCCTCACAACCATTTTTTTTAAATTATAATTTTTAAATTTACACTTTATACCCCTATAATTAGTTAATTAATTTATTTTACGTCCTTTACTTTTAAATGTTTCATTTTAAACTTTTATCGAATTAATATACATAATCATATATCAATTAAAACATTTAAAAAAAATACATTTTTATTTTAACAAGTTACACCATTATAATCGTCTTTTTAATACATTCGAAATAAATTCAATATTGAATAGTTTTTGACTTAATTATATTATTATATATTATATATACTGTGAAAAAATATTTTTAATATTTATGATTTATACTTATATATATATATATATATATATATATA